AAAATAAACTTATACAGGAAAATAATACAGTTATACAGTGCGATTTAGATTGCAAAGATCAGAAAATACCACAGAGCGTGCAGCCTTTTGATTTATCTTGTTTTTCGTATGTATGTTCTGGAGATTAGGTGGGTGGTTCTCGTAATACTTTAAGATTTATAAGATTGTGTATTAAAAGCCTTTGAAAATTGTTTCGGAAATACTGGATATCGTTTTGAAAATTTATAGAGCTACTGAAGTATTTTAAACACATGAACGAAAAATTTCACAGTAACAAGCCTATGTATTTCGGTTATAGTGATTATACCGTAATCAAACGTTAAAGGTCTTCTAAGAAATATTCTTTGGAATTAAAGACTAAGTGTAAGCACTAGAACATAAACCACCAGATTGCTTGCAAAATCTTTATCGGCAGGATAAATTGGTTCAGAAAACATAATTTTTCACAGTCATGATCAAATGAACAGACTGTCATTTTCTTCCTGTTACCGAAAGATACGAACAGATTGTCATTTTCTTCCTGTTACCGAAAAATACACACCAGGAAGATTTCAAGTAGAAGACACGTCACTGACATAATGTTCTTAATATTTGAATAGAAAAGAATTTGCTAAAGCCAATTTATGAAAGAGAAATCGGGGATGCTACTTATTAAGTTATTTGCCCATAAAAGAGGGTTTATTTTACTCGTTTAGATTATTTTCAAAAACAAAAGTCTCAAAAAGCAAAGGTTACCTGATATTAAGATGTAAACCGCGACATATAAAATTAATTTACCTGTGAAACTGGAGTGAAAATGTGTTAGTTTATCCGGTTTTTTCTTCAGTGCCTTCAGCACTTTGATCTTATCTGTATTACAAGTAAACTATATCGTTTTCACCGAAAAATCATTAAATTCTACACAAGTTTCTAATAGAATCATAAACATTTATTGTATCATAGTTTGAAGACTTTTCTGTTGAAAACGTGTCAGAGGTAAATCGAATTCATATACATGCACAGTGCGTAACTGGAGTGCAGGTAATAGTTCCCAACACTCCAGAGCATGCCCATTGATGTACTCATTCTTTTTTTTGCGGGGGGGGGTGCTTTTTGTGGAATAACGATAGAAATGCCATATTCAGAAGCTTGTTCATAGGTTATTTCTGGGGTTTCATATTGTTACAACAGGGAACGTGCATTTAATTTTGCCTATGGTATGAACATGATGTAATTGTGTGTGGAACGTGTATGTACGATCCTATCAAGATAACCTTTGAAACGTCATTCATTACATACACAGATGCCCGTTTGTGCCAGAAACAATTTTGCAAAGGGGGCATCTGAGTTCTTGCTCCACCAGTAAAACTGAAGAGTCGCCAAAATGACCTACACAGTTTTGTGTGACGTAACCCCCACTCCATCCCAAAAACAAACAAATCAAATGAGACATGTCATTAACTGTATTTGATTTAAATACGTTATAGATAGCGTTAAATACTTTTATTAGTATGATTACACTGTGCTCGTTATAGTATAAATATCACCGATACATTATGTTTGCCTTAGAATATTGAAATTGAAACTGAAAAGTCAATGAAAATAATTGTACATGTATATAATATCTTTCCGTTTTGTCTAGAAAATGTCCGCTTCGCTGGCGTTTGATTTTTCAAGACAACGAAATTGCTACCTTGATTATCTTTTATACAGTTTTTCTTCGTTATATAAACATGATAGGTTAGAGTGTTGAGAAAAAATCAATAGACTTTTTTACCCCCGTTTACTCTGTTGTTCCAAAAATGTCCGTTGCGTATTTTAGTTATACCTGATGAATTGTGGGTAACTTCTGTACATGTCTGGGAAAACCAACTTTCATTTTTGCATCAAAAGCTAATGTGAAAATGCATTTTCTAGAATAATTGTTGTTAGAGGGTTGGCTAAAGTGTAAGTTATTGTTATTTTAGTCATAATATTGTGATTTGTGAGGAAATTTGTTTACATTTTTTTTGGACACCAAATTACCTGTCAGACCTCAGTGTAGCCCCTTTAAGCTAAGAACCTTACATAAATACGTTATTTTATCTTATCCTGGTTATATATAGATGGAATTTGGTTGTCTGTGTGTAAGATCCAATTATTCTTTTTCAAAATTCAATCAATGATTTGGAAAACTACAGGCATTAGATAGCTTTATACACTTTAAAAACAGGTTAAGTTGTCAATATTTTGCTTATAAACAGCCGATTAAAGATACATAGTAAATAGTTCCGTTGAAAAATATATATTTTCAAATTCCATTGTGGTGACCCGCAACGAACGTGTTAAAATTGAAAAAGATATTTATATTTCTTACGTTGTAGTAGTCAGGCCCATCGCCCTTCGTATATATAAACATTTGAACTCCGAACAGTCCATAATTATTATTCTACAACAACACACTCAAAATTGATATCTATTTCTTAAAAACTGCCTTACATTTTGCATTCATGTTGTTATTAATATTTCACCTGAACTTCTGAAGTGTATTATCCAAGACTTTAGAAATACAAGACATTTCTTAAATATAGATTGCATGGTATCAAAGGGAACTTTTCTATCCTGACCAGGAATGCCATTCTTAAACACAGACTACTTATAGGCGGCGGGTTTGACTGTGTGCATTTCGTATGATCTCTCAATATTCAACTTATTTAACAATTGTATGATATCATATTTTCACCTATTGTACATTTTAATATCCTGCTATCAGACTTTATATGTTCATATTTATAATAGTGACTGGACATCGGTTATAAATTTCAGAGAGTTTTTCTCAATAATAATTTCCCACCTTTACAAAAATGAACCACTGTATAAATGTGAAGGACAACGGGTAAGTGCTGTTGTCCTGTATTTATAAACAGATGGTAAAAGACTTGATTAAAACTCATTTTAAAAGCAGAATGCAAAAGCCTTTGGAATATGGGATCAATAAGGAATTGCTGTTCCATGCAAACAATACTGTAACCTATATTTTTAAGTATCGCATACTATAATGAATTTTTAATGCATACCGATATTCAAATAATGAAAATTAGCTTTTATATACAATAAGAATCGATATTTGTTTTCTCGGCTGTGTTTAGTTTTAACAAGATCTATAGAAAAAAACCCGCCCGCTCCGATACGTTTTGTATCTTTGTAACTTATTATATTTTTTTGATAATCGTTTTGCTTTCATAGAGAAATTTGTTTAAAGTTTTTATCGATAGATACCCAGGGCTTGTAAATATTACATACAAAGTAATTCTTTTGTTCCGACACGATAGAACTCAGTGCAGTGTTTATTTTTCCGCGGAATAAGGTTTAGTGCAAGCTATTTGAGGGCCATTGAGAAAGTTATCTAAAATTAGTTATCTTTTTACCCTTATGCTGCTCGAGCCATCAACCTTTGCCGCCAGTAGAGAGGTAAGCCTACAGATTCATACAGCCTGGTAAGGCTCTACATTGTCGGTAGCTGAATTTGTATTTTGATATTAAAGTCATTAAACGTCGAAAAGCACGTTCCAAGTTAAAAACATGGCAAATTCAATAGGTTAAAATGTTAGCCTGCTATAAATATAATCATATACCGATTCTATTATTTGTGTATTACTTTTTTATTCAAACTTTTTTCTTCCAATGCGTCAGAACGGAAGGAGCTCCAAAGACATCAAAACCTCTAAAAACATAGAATTGGAAATTCTAACATAGTTCAAGTGAAGCACTTAAAACGCAAAAGAAAATTGCATAAGAAAAAAAAATATGGTCAGAATTAAATTTTAAAAATCAATTTAGTGTGTTTCCTAGCCCAATTTGAGTGAAATACGTTGTCTCTTAGTACTCTTTTTTCCGCACCAAATGTAATAATTCTGGATAAACGGGGTGAGGGGATGATCTTAATATATACACATAAGTTAAAGATCATGTATATTATAATTGAGGTGTAATTTTATATATGTATATAATTTTGCTTATAAAACAAAAATATTGATAAATCTTAATTTGAGCATCATATTTATTATATAAAACCATAAAAAATTGTGTTACAGGATCTTTAATAGTCTTGAGCTACATCAAATGGTATAAAAATGTCTGAAAAATATTTGTAGTCCCATCATGTCACAAAACTTCAGTGGATTTGTTTTTGGTTAGTACATACAAAGTATTGCATCATAGATATGTCTAAGCAACAAGTTAGTATTAATTGTCGAAATAAAATAATAAGATTTTGAAAAGATATTTAGCATATTTATTAACACTATGAAAAATAAGTTAATAAAAACAATATTTATATAAAGGAACGATTGGTGTGAAATATGTCTTGAATTTAATAATCAATTATACATTGTATAATGATTAAAAGCTTTTTCACTTGTAATCTATTATATTATTTCTAACTTGAAATAGTATATAGAATTTTATAGTTTTCATTATAATAATTATTGTTGTTGTAACAGTATATGAACCAAGCACTAAACTGAAAATGAATTTACTTAATTTATACATTACGCTTACATGTTAAAAGCGTGTGTAAAACTGTATGACCCGTTTCCATTTACACTGTTTTAATTGAGAGAAGCATAAAGAAATATATATATACATCATTGAAATTCAAATAGGCAATGTACTACAAATAAATGAGTGCGAACGAAAACTACGTCTTTATATTATTATAATATACAAAGATTCTTTGATATTTTATGTAAATTTTTCTTACAATTTGATTCCAATTTGTTATAAATCAAGCAGACAAAGAGTATCTGCATTTTACCTAGTGCATACCTGTGTTTTCCTTTACATGTAGTTATAGGAGAGAGATAAGCCAGTTCCAATAGGAACAGTCTGTTATTTTTCCAATAGAACAGGACATTGTGAACGTCCCGCGAATACCCGGGTCGAAACTGGGCTGAAAAGAGATATCGATTCCAGAACAAGTCTCTTTGTTGATTTGGAAAATTTTAAAGCTTCTATTAATCCGCTTTCAGGGAAGTTTTTAGACCTGTCTAATCAATGATCTACCGCCTGCAGGTTGCCTAGAGATGTATACCATAGGCTGGTTTTGTCATGTGTAACAATACAGGTTGGAATTATTCATTAAGAGACGAAGTTTGCTAAGTTAAGTCCATATACAGAATTCCGATATCGGTTATACCACAGTGTTCGTGACAGTAGCCGTTCTCACAGTGGAAGACATATTGAATGTTGTTAGTTTTCAGTTCTTCTGAGGATTTGATATCAAAGCACTTATAAAAAAAAATTAAAAATGTCAGTTATATTGTCAGCGTGCCGTCGTCATTCGAAACAAAAAGTTCTTGCCCGGGCTTTAAAGAAAAAGGCAGAGAAGCAGTAAGTAGTTCTGTGTTTTATTAATACATTTATTACACTAATTTAAATTTCAAGCACATAATATATTTGTTTTCTAGGGAAAATGTTGGCTTTCATAGTGCTTAAAAATATTATGAAATAAATTCAAAAAAACTGTTTATCCTTACAGATATATGTTTTATTCAAGTTGACTGTTCATTAGATGCTGTAGATCCTCTTGTTATTTCACAACATTATTTCATCAATTTTGTTATTGTTAAAAAAGCTATGTATAATGCACTTAGTTGTATATATTATATTCCAGAGATTTCTTAGATGTTTCTCCTTAAAATCAATTGAATTGTTTTCCTATACAATATAAATTAACATCATACAGAAAGCTGACTTTGCAGTAGAGAACTATCTCATTGTGATGCTATTTTTGTATCGTTATTATTATCTGTAGGATCGTGTAACAAAGACAATAGAGCATGAAACGTTCAGCAGTAAATTGATATAAATAACAAGTCATTTGAATGAATTGATTTACGATAGACTTAGTTTAAGAACTCAGAAACGCAGATTTTAAATCACGATTTACTAGATTGCTAGTTTGTCAATTAAAGGCATGATTGAAACATTGAGAGAAATCATTACAACATCTAGCAAGAATCTAATGCTAAATCCACTTTCCCGTGATAAATGCAAACTTCGAATGCTTTATTGCAAAACAAAATGAAATAGTAAAGATAGATTTACGAAACATATTACATTTTGCAAGTCTATTTGATAATATGAACTTATCAGAACTGGTCAAAATAAATACCTCTTGTAGGTTTATTTTGGTCTTTGTAGACTTTTGAATATCCATTGGTAATTTTGTTTAAGTTACTAGAATTTTGATAGAAAAGAAATACAGACTACCATTGGAGTTGTAAAATTTAATTGTTAAATATACCTAAAATTCACCCAAACGATATATTTTTCCACAAAATGAACTAACCAAATACCTTTACAGCAAACATTCTGAATAAAAATGTAAGTTCACACTAACTAGCTTATACTTAACATAATTTATACTGACTGAAAATATGTTAATTTGACAATTTATAGTATTGTAAGAAATTGATAAGTCAAAATCAAGTAGATTGATCTACGCTGGGCACATTTTCCACGAGTATTTTTTTTTTGTTGGTGAAAACACTAGAAATGTATTATTTAGAGATTCTTATAAAATATTGCTTGATTAAAAAAGTTCAAATGATCTTAGGTTTGTTATCAAGTATGATACTTATTACTATCAGCATAATTATTAATTTAATGGTTTCATAAATATTTCATTATAATTGACTTTGATCAGTTATCATACATTTCAATAACAATGATACGGTGGAAACAATAGAATCAGTCTTATGTTAGTCGTACAGTTATTAAGTGGATATCTTAACAGTCAATGACATTATTTTATTCGAATTTAAAGGCAACTGAAAACTCACGGGTAAGAATTGTTTAGTATCGTTTCTTGCACGCCGAGCAAAATGTTTTAGAGTTCGAATTAAAGTGGCATTGTGCTCATTTTGTGCTGTCAAGTTGCCCTGAATTAACTAATTACTTCAAAAGATTGACTGATGAAATAATTATAAACAAATAGTTGATAATAAAAAATGTTTTAAATAAAATATTAAAAATTCCTTAAAGATAAAAAGACTGTCCCTCTCTTTTTTACGAATTGGACATCATCGATACAATCCGAAAAATATTTAATAAGAGTATGGTAAAAGGCAATTTCATATGTACAGGCACGCCATTTACACTTGGATAGGCATAATGTCACTTTAGATAATTTTGGTTTTACATAATACCCCAGAAATAATTGAACTTTTGTTTGTAGTTGTGAATACGTGACTGTAAACCCCCCTCCGCCTCCCCCTACACACCACCCCTTCCATCACCACCACCACCATCATCAAATGTCATGTGTTACGGAAACTAACACATAATAAGATGTGCAAATTAACACAACACATCAATTGATAATTATAACAATTATAATAATAATAATAATAATAATAAACAAAGAAAACAAGAACAACAACAAACAGTCTGATATATAACTGGTTTGATACTATCTGATACCGCGCACAATCCACGTAGTTTTGTTAATTTTCTAGAAGTAGTAATGTTATATAAATCGGTACAGTTTAATTAGATTAGGGCGGTGCGGGAGGGTGTAACAGTAACTTAGCATTGATTCCTTCTGTGTTTAACAGCTGGAAATTTACAGTCACGTCCGAATTTTATTTTCACTGTCATGTTATTTTATAACTCTAACAGATTCGGTGAATCGGCATGCAAGAAATGAAGTTCATATTCAGCTAATTAGTGTTGGTAACAGTATCTTTTTTGTAAGAATATCAGCATTTCCCTGTGTCTACTGAAGTGCTAAAACCGTTCTCGGGTAGCAAGATGCTTATGTAGGTTCACTAACCGAAATAAATATAATAATCCAGTTCCGCCGAAGATTTGTTAATTGTAGAAGAAAAAAAGAACTTTCACTTAAGAAGTATACGTAGAAACGCTTCAAAGCAGTAGAATTTTAGTATATTGTACATATTTTATCTATTTTAAGTATGCCTCAGGAAATAATAGTGCTGGTAGATAAATATATTAGTTAATTTGCTTAGCCTTTCTTTCCCATTTTGCTTTTTGTATTGGTCTAGATGTCCTTGTTAGACTGATAACCAATCCTTAAGTAGTTCATACGAAATTTAGATATTTACAATTGATTTAAAAAAATCAATCCCCTTTTAAGTTTTCTTTTATTATCATTATTTGAAAATGTAGCATTTCAAATGCCCAATCAAGATTAAAATGTAACAAATATAAATGACCTTTTAATCTTTTGTAATTGTGATGAAAGAAACATTAACCGAACCAACGCCATCTGACGTGAACAACAAATGTACGGAGAATGTAATAACTATATTTGGATCAGGGTTTTCAAAATTATTCTTTATTATGACATCTTATCAATAAATCAATTAAACTGTATGAGGTTTGAATATTGCCAATGGTCCCAGAGAAGATATAGCTATAGTCGCCTCCGATGACATTATTAAAAGCAACACGTCAATACCAGAAAAAGCAAATATTTGTTTTATTCAAGATAACATTTAAACGTATAAACAAGGGAGCTCCTTGTAAATATTGTATAGAATAAAAGAGGTAAAATATGTTCAAAGATGTTGAAATACTATTGACAACATTATGTTTGTAAAACACTTGGTGTATGTCAACAATATTATTTTTTATTTTAAAATAACATACCGTTTCTTTGAATTATAAATGAAATTAACCCGCTGCTTGACATACTTTTCAACATAATCGTTTTGTAATAATAAGTGAATGATCGATTTTGCTTTTATTTTTTTCCCAAAGCAGCATTTGGTGAGAAAAAAAACATTTGCTTTTGTATCAATGGTAAATGGTTAAAATTACTAAACATTGGGTCTTCTGCAAAGCAAGTACAGCAAATGTACACATATTGATAGCACAATGTACTCAACTGCCAAACCTTATCATAAAATATCAAATAAGAAAAATCAATATCTTCTATTAAGTTGTGTTTATATTAACAATATATACATAACTTTAAAAGGCAATCGATAAATATAAAGTTACTGCTGACAGTTTCTAGAACAGAGAAGCGGTTCAGACAGACCTTATTTCAGAAAATCTATCAATTCATAAAAGGTTTAGCAAATATGTGCTAAATGAATCCAATATCTAAATACTGTATTGATACAAACTTTGTATACGATTAATATACACCTATGCTTTATTATTTGAATGTTTGGATAGTACACCAATCGCCTCTGGGGCAAGAAGAAACAAAATAATAGCATTTATTTTCACATTTCAGTGTGTATATTTAGGAAGAAGAAGAAATAGTTTATTTCGGTAACTTATACATTTACAGTATCTCGTTACATACAATAATTACAAATATAATAATTCTGTGGTCACATGACAAAAGCAAAGAAAAAAATAATAAGAAGAATACAATTGATTTAAAAAAAATCAATCCCCTTTTAAGTTTTCTTTTATTATCATTTTTGAAAATGTAGCATTTCAAATGCCCAATCAAGATTAAAATGTAACAAATATAAATGACCTTTTAATCTTTTGTAATTGTGATGAAAGAAACATTAACCGAACCAACGCCATCTGACGTGAACAACAAATGTACGGAGAATGTAATAACTATATTTGGATCAGGGTTTTCAAAATTATTCTTTATTATGACATCTTATCATATAATCAATTAAACTGTATGAGGTTTGAATATTGCCAATGGTCCCAGAGAAGATATAGCTATAGTCGCCTCCGATGACATTATTAAAAGCAACACGTCAATACCAGAAAAAGCAAATATTTGTTTTATTCAAGATAACATTTAAACGTATAAACAAGGGAGCTCCTTGTAAAAATTGTATAGAATAAAAGAGGTAAAATATGTTCAAAGATGTTGAAATACTATTGACAACATTATGTTTGTAAAACACTTGGTGTATGTCAACAATATTATTTTTTTATTTTAAAATAACATACCGTTTCTTTGAATTATAAATGAAATTAACCCGCCGCTTGACATACTTTTCAACATGATCGTTTTGTAATAATAAGTGAATGATCGATTTTGCTTTTATTTTTTTCCCAAAGCAGCATTTGGTGAGAAAAAAACATTTGCTTTTGTATCAATGGTAAATGGTTAAGATTACTAAACATTGGGTCTTTTGCAAAGCAAGTAAAGCAAATGTACACATATTGATAGCACAATGTGCTCAACTGCCAAACCTTATCATAAAATATCAAATAAGGAAAATCAATATCTTCTATTAAGTTGTGTTTATATTAACAATATATACATAACTTTAAAAGGCAATCGATAAATATAAAGTTACTGCTGACAGTTTCTAGAACAGAGAAGCGGTTCAGACAGACCTTTTTTCAGAAAATCTATCAATTCATAAAAGGTTTAGCAAATAACGTGCTAAATGAATCCAATATTTAAATACTGTATTGATACAAACTTTGTATACGATTAATATACACCTATGCTTTATTATTTGAATGTTTGGATAGTACGCCAATCGTCTCTGGGGCAAGAAGAAATAGAATAATAGCGTTTATTTTCACATTTCAGTGTGTATATTTAGGTTTTTTTTACGTCTACCGTTCCTCTTCAAACATCTTAAAGTTAGCATTAGATTTGTGACTTTTTGTATAAATACACCGTGGAAGTAATGTATTTGAATAATCTTCAATAAAGAACAATAATCTTGTAATGTTAAAAATACAGTAAAATAAATAAATACATAAAGCATTTTTTTATCCAATTTAGTTAAATGACGAAGTGTCATTTTGTCGACAAAATAATTATCGTAATAGGATCACGTGACGAATGTATTTATTTATTTTTTTAATTTTATGTATAAGGTTGGTAAAAATTACTCCTCTTATCAAACCAATTAATTGCCATGGTAATTGAAGTTTTTTAACACAATTCAAGTCACTTCTTAAATAAATAAATCTGTATATATTCATTTATCAAGTGCTTGCCTTTTGTGATTTTTCGGTTATGAGTTTAATAAAACACACTTAAAATCCATTGGTAACTAAAATAATTTGCGAACGTGTTAAATCTATGTTCCGCAACTCCTCTTTGTAATGATGATTATTGTTATTGAAAAAAAGCATTTATTTTTCTTAAGAAATTAAATCTATTTGTGTAAAAAGAATAAAGGTCGGTGTGGTGATGTTTGACGTACTCCTATTACTACATTCTCAAAATCTCAAAGAAAACAAAAGAATTTAAAACAGAAATAATATCAAATCTGACTTGGTGAAGACGTTACATTGGAATTTTGATTTCTTGTAACGTGGAACTATTATCATTATGTAAAAATGAATGGTTTAATATTACATAATTATATAAAAGACTAACCATTAGTCTGCGTGTGGCAACTAAGTCTACTCATGCGACCAGGACATACCCTTTTCCTCTGATCATTGTAGGCAATTTGTCGCTATTAAGCCAGTAGATATTTTCTAATTTATTTCCCTGAAAATATTGAATGGTTTTGTATATATTGAAACTAGGACAAATCAATTTAGAATATTTTAGGGTAATATCTGCTGATATAATTAAAGCATAGTCTCACTATCAAGCCAAATCTAAACACCAGAAGATTATTTAGAAAAAGTATTTAACCATCATTCTATATGTATTATTTTCTTTACTTATTTATTTACAAAACAAATTCAAACGCAAATGTCCAGCCTTGAATAAAAAATTTAGTTTTCTTCCCAAAACATTTGATACATTCGGGACTTGACTTATTTACTTGAAGCCAACGTACTTTTCACGGCAATGCTCTGGTACTTTTGTGTTTAAATATTTCATTGACATCAATCAGCTTTTCAATGAATAAAATA